CACAATTTCATACTAAATTTAAAAACTATAATTAGTATTTATTCATATATTATATTTTAAAATCAAAGAACTACTAATCAGGATATAATTAAAGAAATAAGAGTTCATGTTGCTTTTAAAATATTTCACCAATTTCTCTAAAGGAAACACTATCTACAGATTTGCATCGAAGCGTTTCTTATGATAGTGATTTTTAACACTGTCAGACATCATTATACTTGATCCAACTATGCCACGTCACCACTGTGCCGCGACCCCCCTGTGCTGGGTTTTTTTTTATTACATTTTAAAAATGAACAATGTAAGAATCATATTTTTTAAGTTCAATTGTTGGCTGGCTGGGTACAAACCTTCTGGCAAAAAAATAGATATTGATGTCAGTACATTAATTTGTATCATTAACTATCATAGGATATTTTAATATTCATGTAAATATATTTATTTTTAAATTATTAATAATATGTGTTCTATTATAAGGTCTAGTGAATATAGGAATGTTAAAAGCAACACGTGGAATTCAGGAAAATTATAATAATAATGCACATGATAATTTTTCTTTTATAAGGGTATTAGCACTGTAAAAGGCAGTGTGGTCTCTAGCTGAAATGTGTTTAGCCACCCGGTACTCAATTACGTGCGTCCAACACAAGTCAACGTGAGTCGTGACGTGATTATACTAATTTCAGTAGTTATGTTAGATATTATGTATTTTTGAATTAAATTCCGACGTTAACAAATATTTGAATTACATTTTTTTTCAAATTTATCTACTCTTAAAGTGTTGTGCTGCTAATAAATATCAAAATTTTATATATTTTTTACGACAAAGTTTTGGCTGTTAGCATACATTCAAAATTATATAGTGGATCCAAAGTATACTTACCGGGTAAATATTTTTAAATTTTTTACTTGATAAAAACTTGTAAATTATGTGTTTTATTAAGTATCTCATTATAGAATAGTTATGATATTATATATAGAACTTGTTTTTTTACTAATTTGGCTTAGCTAGACAAAACATTCAGTACACATCAGTCATAACTCAATGATAAGTCGATTGCAGGTTAGATTCGTGGTTAGTACCTTTTATCAAATATTTGTGGCTTGGACGAATAGTTATTAATCATCGATTATATAACTGACACTAATTTTCATCTAATAAATATAATTTTTTATAAATAATAATAGTGAAAACTTGTTTTTAATAATTCATGTCATAATATTTAAATTGATATTCAGCAATTTCGTTTTTTAAACTTTCTCAAGTCTATCTAGTAAATGTTTTGTATTATACTATTTATATGTAATTCATATTTAATGTTTGTTTTTAAGCTATCCATTAACTTTAATTTTAATTATAGTTAATTTTTAACCTATACTTGAAACTAGTTGTAAATAAGTATTAGAACTATTTCAATATTAATAGGTTTTTATAGGATAGTTAATAAGAGCTCTGTTATATATTATTTGTTTTGAGTAAATATTTCAAAATTAATTTCTTATCAGTTGAAATGTATTTATTGATGACACATGCACACACACATACATAAATATATATATTATATATAATTCATTTAACCTAATTGTTTTGCATTTATTTTCCAGAGTTATATGATTAATTATTATATTTACTAAACAAGACACCAGAATGCCAAAATCAGTAAGTTTTCCTTTAATTAGATAACTTAATTCCATAAAATAAGTAAATTAACATGTAAAGCTTGTAAAATCTAATTATGATTTTATATAATATAAATTTTGTTTTAATATTAATTCTTTAGTATTGAAGTTAATATGTAAACTGAACTACATAATATATTTCATTAAGAGTTTATTTTAAAATAATTTATCTTCAATGTTCCTTATATTTTACAAAAACATAGTTACAATATTACACTGATAATTATTTTGTAAATTAAAAAATTTGTCATAAGTATAAAATACTTAATAAAAAAAATTTTTAATAAAAAAATAATGTTGATTAGTATATAGAACATCTTCCTTTTTTGAGATCTTTCTTTTCTGAACTTGGTTAATAAAAATAATTAATTATTACTAGCATAAATCTAGTAAAATACTGTGCATAGTAACTTCTTTCTATTTTGTTATTCCCATATATCTTGATAAATTAATTATTTTTCTAATTAAAATTTCCATTTTCAAGTTTAATGTATTGAATTTAACCAGGGTTATAAACCTAAATTATTTCAGTTTTTTAAAAAAAATTTTCTATAGGTATCTAGTAAGTTAGTTGATCTGTATCATATTTTTTTTAAAAAAATTTTTAAGGTTATTCATTATAGAAAAAGATAGTATTATGATATCAGTTTTAAAATATTAACCTAAATTTTGACCTTTTAAAGTTCAAGTTCATTTAAATTTTCAAAGGAGGTCTCATAATATTTTTTAATAATTTTTTTGACTTGTACAAAAACAAAATTGATATAGATCAATTAGTTTACTAATTAATTATAAGAAAAATTGCCAAAAACCAAAAGTATTTTTGTTTCTGGTCTATATTCAACAAATTAGATCGTTTTGATCTGTTTTAAAATTTAGTCCAAACTTCTCATAAATATTAAATCAAAGTTGGTTTATATACAAGGTGCGATATAAAAGTAGGCAATTTTGAAGTTACTATTAAAAATTAATGAATGCTTAGAAAAAAAAAATTATACCATTGTAATCTATAGAAAAATGCATTTATTTTAAATTTATATTATAGCTTATTTTTTGAAAATAACATTGTCAAGGTGATGTTCTTTTCTCAACAGGCATTCATCATTTGGTAACAGGCAATTACAAAAATTGCCCATGGTGTGCCTCAACATTTATAGAGGAATTTTGGCAACCTTTTAAACCTTGTTTGTTTTTTCAATTTTTACTAAAAGTTTCTGAGCTGAGGAGGAGTGCATTGGTGACCTTAAAATCATACTCTAATTGTTGCCTGAGATTTCCCGCCCTTTTAAAATTGCCCATTTTATACTATATTTTTGTATAACATAGCTGAAAAATAGAAGCACTCCAAGATTATCTTATAAAAACCACATAATTATTTTTATACGTTTAAGGGACAAATATTAACTGAACTGGTAATTTTAGAAACTCTAAGAGTCTTAAATGATTTTAAAATTAAACTATAAACAAGAGAGTAACTTTATATATTTGGGTTATTTGTATTAATTATGGGTCTGACTTGTGTAGTTTTTATATGGAAGATGTAATTGCATACATAATTATTAATTTATATATTTTAAAAAATGATGAATTTCTGTAATAACTGAGTCAATTTTAAAGATATTCAATATTTTATTGACTTCTGATAAGGTAAAGGAGAAATGCAAAGCATAATCAGTTCTCTAACGAATCAAGAAGAAGGTCACAAACATAATAAGTGAAGTAAAAAAGAAAAAACAATTTTCTATTTAATCATAAACAAAGGTGTAAGTACGGAGTGGGTCTTAAAAATTCCTCTTAGACCTCCTTACTTACATTAAAGTTTTTTTTCATGTAATAAAATTGTATTAAAATTAGAGGAGTGGGTATAATGCATTTAAATAAACCACCCAATAAATAATCTATAAATCAGTCTCTGACTCAGGTTCCTAAGTCTACGTTCCTAAGTCCAGCCTTACATTTTATATTTCTCTATTGACATATATCATTTATCACTAGAGGAATAGCCAATTTGAGTGGTATTAATGTGTAAGCAAAATGTATGGTTCTAGTTGATTTACCATCATTAACCTATTTATCTTATAAAATACTCAAATTATTCAAATAGCAACGACATTGACAAACAAATTATTAAGTTGATACCATTTTAATTTTTGTATATATTTATACAGAGTGATTGATCAACTATGGTAACTCTATTTTTTTTATATAATCAGATTAGATTTAGTTTTAAAAATTTTTTTTTATTTTATTCAATTATTAGCGAGCTAAGATTCATTAAAGTTTATGGGACATGAGTATTACTCACGTCAGAGAGAAGCAAGGGTACCTAAGTTATTCCTGTTGCAGTACAATACACGGGTAGTTCTTATCGGTACACTAATAATTAATGTTACTGTATTTACCCGACTACTGTTTTATTTATTAATTTCCCTAAACTTTAAATAATGATATCCCGTTTAGAATTTAATAAAATTGATTTTTTATTTATGCTAAACAAGATTAATAAAAAAAAAAAAAACCTAAAAAACTTGCGTTGCTATTTGAAAAACTAAGTGGATATCGGGTTTAAGAGTTATGGGAAGATGGAATCTCTATTGTTCTTGTCAGGTAGTTCAACAAAGATTTATAACAAATAAAATAATTACATATATGATAACATTAACATTTTTAAATAAAAATCGTAAGACATAGTTAGTCAATCTTTCTGTATATAATTATATGTAATTTTTTAAAAATCTTTGAAGAGCTAAGTACCTCCGAATACCCTCTAGTCTGCCCCTATGTTCAAAAATAAAATATTATTTTGTTATATTCAGGGCCGGATTAAAACCTATCTTAGATTAAGACTGGTTCCTGGAGTGGTACTTTAATATAGACCCCTTATGGAAAACATCGCTATCATAAAAAAAAAACCAGTAGAACTCGTGAGCTATGGAGCTTTTACCCTCCCCCTCTTATTTGGCTCTGTATATATTAATATGCTACACCGGCCCATTGAATACAATCCCATGAAACTTTTTATTTTATATTGAAAATTAATTTAGATTAAAAAAATATAAAATAAACTTTAATTCAATAATATTTGATAATTTAATCAAAATGTGTGCTCTATGTCGATATTTTGCGTTATCGAAAACAAGTATTTTTTTGTGATGTTGATATTTTTTTAACAAAACATCGTTGAAGATATTAATAGCCCTAGTAAATAGGAAAAAGCATGGCTCCTGTGGTACTTTCTAATTATAGTTCTGATTGTAATTGTTTGAAATTATGAGTTTTCAATATAAATATTGTTCTTTGGTAAAATAACCTTATTAGTAAATTAGTTTGTTTTCTATTTTCTTAATCAAATAATGACTGAAAAAGTACATTTTTATTATTTAATGTGGNTTAGTAAATTAGTTTGTTTTCTATTTTCTTAATCAAATAATGACTGAAAAAGTACATTTTTATTATTTAATGTGGCTTAAATAATAGGCATCATCATCTAAAAAGATTTTCCTTATATTGTCATTAATGTAATTTTTTTTTAATATTACGTTATAATTATTTTTGAAAATGTTAAACATGTTGAAATGATACAATAATGATTATTAATACTTAAACAAACAAATAAATATTTAATTTATTTTTTAACTATTATTTTAATTATTAATTAAAGTAATCACCAAAAATGGATTTAAGATAAAACTTTGATATCTATTACAGTTAGCTACGCGAATATCAGAATAAATATTTAAAAAAATGAAATATAGAAAAAGTATTTCTAATATGAAGTTATATCGATTATTGTGCAAGAAAATTAAATTTTTCAGAAATTAAAATTTTTGTCAGAGAGAGGTTGGGTTCATCATCTATATATTTTTCTATTTGTATTACTGATAGTGGTGATTACTAATTTTACAAAATTAGATACATAGCCAGTTATTTTTAAGAAAATATTTAAACTTGCCAGAATATTATTTATGATTAGATACTGGATTTTTATGTTAGTTTAAAAAATCCTATAATTTAATGATATTTTAGTCAGTCGTGGCTATAGCCATGTCAGTTATAACCGTGGAGCGCCTATTATAAGACTTGATTTTATATATATATATATATATATATATATATATATATATATGATAGTAGTATTGAAAAATTATTAAAATGAAATGAAAAAATTGAATAATCTATATAATTTCAATGAATTACTAGGATAACGATTCTGCTAATATATTTTTATTCTATTTACTATAAATATAAATTGTCATTTATTATTAAATGACAACTATTCATCGAAAAATGTATTAATACATTATTAATTTTATTTTGTCAATAAATAATCAATGATAATATATACACTTATTATAATATTTTTAAGAATTCTATACCTTTTTTTACTTTTTTTACTTTATTTTTTTTTTATTTTTTTTCAATGGTTAAAAGTTTATTTTAACAATTTGAATAATTTTCGTGTGTTTAAATTGTTTAATAATTTTCATCTCAAATTATTACTTTTACAACATGTATTATATTATATACTGTTATAAATGTTTTTTTTTTTATCTTAACAATTAAATTTGTCAAAAATGCTTTATTAAATTAACGTGAAATAAAGATAAAATAATTGATCAATTCTTTAAAGTGGTAGGGTAAATATAACCAATAATCGACAAAATTATTTAAACAAGTGTTTTAAGTATAATTTTTAGAATTTTAATTTGAAAATTGTTAAAATACTTAATTTAAAATATAGGATGTAGTGTAATTGTAGGTTATTAATTTAAACTAAAAAAATTCGACCTCAATATTTTGCCTAATTTATGCATAAAACCTTTTATAACTTGTCCATAAAAAAAAAAAAAAATTGATAATTTCTTGTAAATTTTAGAATTGTGTGCTATAATTTATTAACAGTACTGCTGTAGATGCCATACATTTTAATTTGCGTTTTTTTATAAAAAAAAAAATAGTGTTAAAAGACTAAGTCAGCAAAAAGTATTAATATTGTAAATTAATCGTATTTTTCAAATTCATATAAGTGTAGTTACATTTTAGGAAGCAAATAAAAATTCATTTTTTGCGGTTTATCAAAATATATTTTGAAGTATACTATTCATACTGATAGAATAGTAACAATCAGCTCTTGTATGAACGTTTACACAATAAATTAAATTATATTGCTGTTAAGTATTGTTGTACATAACGTCCGGTATTCATAAATAAAAACTTTGTATTTTTCATTATTTAGGTACAATTGTTGGACATCAAGGACCGTTTTGTTCTATTATAAACAGTAGTCATTGAATTATAGAACTACTGACAAAAAATATTTATTTTTTATTGTCTGATTTGTAGTTTCTTCATACTGATATCAATTATATATAAAAACAAAAAAGGCTTTTCATAAATAATTATTTATGAAAAGTCGACTGAAAATTGTATATTACTAGCAAATAAAGAAAAAATGTCTTTTTAGGGTAAATTTCCCGAAAGATTATTTAGTCTCCTTTGTGTACTATTTGTTAGGAAGCGGAGAAAACAATGTTTTTTCTAATATTTATTTTGCTGCCTGTTAATCGATCGAAACCTGCATTAAAGTGCCCTCCTCACATAATTCCATTTAGACCATCCAGGATTCAAAAGCAAAGCCTCTATCAGAAAAAAAAATTAGTCCGCAAAAGTTGTTGAAAATGATAAAAAAAATGTTTTGTTATAGGTAAATAAAGTAAAAATCGTTTGTGATTTATATAAAAAATTACTTAATCTAATAGTTGACACCGTTTATTTTCATTAATTAAGTCAAGTAGTATAATCATATAATATAAGTATTCCATTGTACCCCACTCATCATTAAGTATATATATATATATATATATATTGAAGTGTTAGTTTCAAATATTTTGTAGCTTTTAATGTCAATCAAATAAGTATATTAAAATGAAGGGGGTTGCTATTTCAAAAAGTGTTTTAGCTACCAATGATTTATGATAAATTACAATATCAATTTTATAATTGAAATAATAATAAACTAGCAAATGTCAGAATAATCGAATTAAAAATGTATTTTCTCTTTTTTTTTTTGCTAAATCCATACTTAAGATAAACATTGTTTGGTCTGGTGGTAACAAAATGTACAACTATTTTATAATATCTCATTAAAAATTGTAATAAGAAAATATTAAATATAAATTTTATAATACATTTTTATAATTTGTATCTATTCATGTATTATACTAAACAATCATAAGACTACTAATCAGAATACTATCAAGGAAATATAAATTTGCTTTTGAAAACATCCATTTTAGAATTGTTTCTTTTGATACTAATTTTAATTTCTGTACTTGTCTCATAATTTATACTAATCCCAACTATGCAGCGTTACCAACATCGTGCCGAGTTTTTAAATTGATCATATATTTTTTTTAAATTAAAAATTAAAATAAAAAAAATTATTTTATCCTTAGATTTGCTTAAATGTCTTCAAGAGCATACAATAAAAAAATATTAAAATGGAATCTAGGCACTTTTAATTTCGCATCATTCAGTTATTATTGTGTATCTATGTAATTGAAGATGTTCTTAAACTCATTTCAATAAATTACTATTAGAAAAATTACAATCCAGTTCTAATATTGATGTTAACTTCATATGTCATTAAAAAAAAATGTTAACGATTTAGAATATCGGTAGATATCATAAATTTTAATTGTGTATTGAATACATACCAGAAAATCAGTAGTTTTAATTCTTAAAATTTTTGTAAGTTCTTAATTTTTTTAAAAAGCTCCTGTTGTGTGTTATTTTTTACAAATAATTTTCGATTATTTTATTGGTTTCGAAATCGTTCTATTAGTTATTTGTTTATAGAAAATGACTAAATGTTTAAAAATGTAAAATTTGTTGCACTTTTTTATATATTTTCTTGAATTTTAATATATTAAATTTTACTTTTAAAAAATGTTTTATTAGTTGGATTATTTGAAACACATTTTTATAAAAATAAAAGAAATTGATTCAAATTATTATTTCTAAATATTTCATATAGAAATGTTATAAAATATTTATTTTAATTGTCATATTTAATATATTTAAGTTAAGTATTTGTTTATGATCAATGATATTATGGTTTCTAGAACTTCTATCATCAATTTTTAAAGTTGTGTCTATTAATTTACAATAAGAAATATTTGGTATTTTTAGTACCCGTTTATATATTATTCATTTCTTTACTATTATAATTTTTAATATACTAAAATTTGTGTTACGGACCTACACTAATATTTCATTTTTTTCTGGCAGCCTTTTGTTGAACACCTTACACAAAATGATAAATACACTAAAATAGCATGTTATGTATTTTCAATAATTTTATTAAGCATAGGTTATGACTTCTGACAATTTTTTTCTATAGTCAACAATAAGCATTAAGTTATTGTAGTTAATTTTTTAAGTTTTATACACCAAAATAGTTTTTTTGTATTTTTTTAAAGGTTAGATAAAGGTACTTTTAAGTTAAAGGTTAGATATTTTTATTATTTTAAAATAAATATATCAAAAAAAAAAAAAAATTTAACTAAACGGGTTTTTAATGCTGCAGTTTTTATCAATAAAAAATAATTATTATAGTTTTATAAAACGTTTAATTTATTTGATCGGTTTGTTAATTTATCAGACCAAGAACGCGATTTAATCGAATCATGAATCACTTGACCAATTTGTTGGGTGTTATTACTCATTAGGTTGGTGATATTTCTGAATAATACATAGAATGTATTTTTATGACTCAATATTGCTTAATATTATACTTATTTGACTACATTATGTTAACACTGTTCAAAAAGGAAGTCCAGTTGTGTTTAGCTTAACGAAATACTTCTAATGAAATTAAAGCAAATACTTGAAATATTTTAGTTTTTAATCTATTTTAATTAATTTGATTATAATCAAATGGACAAATAGTTACTTTAACAAGTACAAACGCTTTCTTACATTAATCGTTGTTTTACCAATTTTTTTGAAAATATTTAAAAAAAAAAAAAAAAAAAAAAAAGAGTTCAAAACTATATTCATTATGCAATAAAAGTTTCAAATTTTATTTTTAAAGAATGAGTCGTCATTTCATGCTAAAAATAAAATAGAAATTATAATTTAGTTTTAATATAGACTTGGATAGATAAAGCGTTACCTTATCATTAATTTATTTTCTGTGTCTAGTCAATGTTAGTAAAAAAAAATCAATGATCTTTAAAATAGGTAGGGCGTGCAGAATATATGTGTTCATTATTTTAGTTAGGAAATCTAGTAAAATAGAATCAATGTAACCGCTGAATTACTGAGCGAATTCCATATAATCATGAGGATTTCATAATATAATATTTTTACTTTTCTTGGTATCGAGTGAGGTTGTATTAACCGAACATCTCGATCGCACCTTGGCCCAATACCAGGTGGCAGCTGTCGCAGTCATAGCGTTTCCCGACAACCGGTTTCCGTATGCCCCTCTCCGAGTCATGCCCCACCCATACAATACTAGATTTTTACAATTTACCCGTCAAAGTAGCTGCCACCACCGCGTCGGTCCACACTCTACAGGTAGCTGGTTGGTATACACAACTATCTAAAACTGAAATAGTTATCACTAGTAGTGAGTGCGTTTGAATTCAGCGGTTCTCGTCGCTCGTTGTTTTTGACGCAAAATCGTGTTAAAAATTGAACAGTGATCTTTTTTTTTGTATCTTTAGAACACGGTTTATGTGATATTATAGCGAAATCATAAATTGTTTGCACTACTTTAGTTTTAACATATTAGAAACTAGCGATAGTTATAACAAAATGGTGTCCGGAAAAACTGTAAGTCCTTGAAACTGCTTTTTAAAACTATTACTGTAGCGCTATGTGGTGTCCGTTGCATAGCGTGATTGATGTATCTTAAAATAACAACAAACACACGTCACTTCCTATTCGTTGATATTTTTCCATGCCGTCAGCGGGTTCTGCAGATGGTGACATCATGCATTGAAATATGCTTTTAAAAACATTTGAGTCTCACCCTGTTAATATGTTTTTCGACTGTTATTTTCCCGCCAATAGGCATAAAATCGGAAATTTTTTGCTTAAATACCATTTGCTCGGAATTTATTTTGTTTAGAGTTACTCTTGATTTTTGTTATGCTTATAAAATATCTATTTTATTTTGCAGATGAACGTGAGGGTGACCACGATGGATGCCGAGTTGGAGTTTGCTATTCAGCAGACTACAACTGGTAAACAGTTGTTTGATCAAGTGGTCAAGACCATTGGCTTGAGAGAAGTTTGGTTTTTCGGTCTTCAATACACGGATAACAAAGGCGATATGACTTGGATTAAGTTGTACAAAAAGGTATGTGTATAACTTAATAGTATCATCGGGTATTAAATTTTATATTTAAAATATCGACCGGCCTCTCGTTAGGTTTTGGTCCAGTTTTTAACGTCTCGATAGACCTGGTGACCTTGTATGCAATAGGTAACTAATACAAAATCAAGACGATTATTTACTTATGGTTTCAGTACAAATTTTGATTTCATACTCTCTTAGTAAAAAAATATGGCTGCCGACACATAAAAATTATTGCCGTCGTCCCCAGACTGGTATACTCAAATAAAAGACTGAGCGTGTGACTAACGCGTCGCCAAAGTCACTGGTGAATGTCGTTAAACAATTAGGTTATGCAAATTCACGATACAGCAAACTTCTCTGTAATTGCAGTACTTAACATTGCTCTTCGCACAATTAACGATGATAGTGTCATTTATTACATTCTTCATTTAGCTCTGACTACGACATTTTCTTTGCAGTAATTTCACGTATAACTAAATTTCTTCGTTATTATTTGTTTTTAATTGACATTTTTTATTAAAAACAAATTATACTTGCTTTCTTTGAATTTGTCTCGCGTTCTCAATACGATAATCAATTGTTATTTCCCAAGATGTTGAGTGTTGAAGTGCATTGTGCACTGAACAATTTAACGACACATTGGTCGAGGGCGTGGCGCACAGCGTTACTTTCGATAAGAGTTAATCGCTTATCATTCTTCATTGCCGCCAGTTCGCTAGAAGCCTTGAGGCACGATTCATATTTTACACAGCGATTACAGTTGGATGATATATAGCCAATTTCCTCATTTCTTTTTTGTTTTATTTAAAACATATATTCAGTGTGGTACTGTATTCATTGACTAATCTTATATTTTAATTCACTTTCTGCAATTTTATATAACCACAGTTAAATTCTTTTGTTTTTTTTTTGTTAAATTTTGTTCAAAACACGATAATAATATTTGATATATTTTCAAATTTTATATTGTCGACCTAATTTCTTATCAAGCGTTTAGTTCTCGTCCAAGTGCAATTTTTATTTATTGATTACAACTTATGTAGTTCACTTAAGTGAAACACTTGAAATGAGCTAAATGAATTTGGTGTATTGGTTATTTAAACATTTTTTCAATATCTACTATTTATTTTAACTTGTGATAATACAGTAATACCAAGAAGATTTTATTACTAAAAAGATAATAATAATACTAATATATACGTTTTTCATTGTAATTAAGTACTCATTTTAGTGATGATAATTTTTATGGAAAAAATGTGCCTAAAACCATTATTTAATTTGAACAAGTTGCGTTTTTCTATCTTTTTTAAATTATAAATACTGAAGTTTGATGCCGTGTAATAAACATGCAATATAAGCGTAAAAATACAAATATTTTTAAAATAATTTTCTTAAATTTAAAAACAATTTTTTTTTTAATTAAGGAAACAAATATTATAATTAATATTATGGTTGTAGTTTTAAAGCGAAAAATATTATGAAAAAAAAATATATATTATAAAATAGTCATTGTATCAAATCATAGGATTTGTCAGAATATGTGGGATCGTCTTGTATATTTAGTAATAACGATAGAGCTTTCGATTTTCTTCAAAATATTTTATATTCAATTAGATTAAAGCACTACTTTACCTTTATTCCTACCCGCCAATTTAGTGATTAATATGTAGTGGTGATAGTTTTATTATGTTATATTTTACCTGATGATTTTGAAGATAATTGTAAACGCAGTAAAGGGGCCTAAGAGGATGAAATCTGGAGTTCAACTTTTCCGTTTAAGTTTTAAATGGATTTATTTCTCAAAATGATTTAATTTTAAAATTAAATTTATAATTCTTTTTTTTATTTTTTTAAATACCATATTTTTTATTTAAAATATATTCACGTTTGCTTGGAACTCTGTCGAAATAGAAAATATGGATAAATATAATAACGACATTAATCGTTGTTTTGTTCGACTGGATTTTTGATATTTAAACGTATAATGAACATAAAATATAGTTTCTACGTGTAATTTTAAAGAAAAAAAAATTTTAATTATAAAATCGTTCAGTAAACTACTCGATGAATTTTTAGAGAAAATTATTCTAGTTGAAGGGCTTGAAGCAACAATCAGATAAGTCTAACTTTTTCACAATATAATTTTTTGTTAATTTTGAACAAATATGATTTTTTTGTATAATTCAATAAAAAACGAATTCAATATTTTTGTTAGTTGTATAGATATTTAATAAAAAAAAATATTTTATTATTGCTTTTAATAAAATAATTTTGATCAAATTACTTCTCCTAAAATATTTAAATAAAATGGACTTATGTCGTTGTTACACCAAACCCTTCAATTGCTAATTCCCTCATAGAATATTTCTTTTTTTAACAAATTCAACATTGAAATGGCATAAATCTAATATTTTCTCTGACTTGATTATGTAAGTGATACACTTTTTGGTCTTTTAAAAAAATTGTATTTAGTTGAATCGAACGTAGCAAATAAAATGTATAATTTTTTTTCATGAAACTATCAACCAAGCACTTTCTTTGAATTGATGTCTAGTAAAAATATTGCCTTTTTTGGAGTATTAACTTTTATAATTTTTGAATTATTTATATAACCGTCTACAAACCGTATGCAGTTAACTTGTGTATTCACTGGCGCATTACTTTCGTTATATTAATTAAAAACCATGCTTGGTCGAACCGGATACAGCCGTTTTAATTGACGGCTAAACGTTTCGATTTCTCTACGAATACATTTTTTAGCTATTTCTTTCAATAAATTTACGTACGTTATGTGTGTGTTTATAATATTGAATAAAGAGTCAAGTCAATTGTTGGAATACTGGAGCACGTATGCTAATAATCCATAACATTAGATGAAACATTTCCAATAAGCTATATTAGCTTATGTTTTTTGTGCAAAAAATTTTACAAATTAAAATAGATGTAATGTTGGTAATTATATTTCTCACGGCAATTCAAAAATTACTAGAAGCTCGTAAACTCTGAGAACAATTCGTGCCCTTGTATGTTTTTCTGCAGACACTCGTATGTCTACCACTACTTTCTAAAACGAAGATACATCTTTGTGTCAAGGTCGCCTCGACGAATGCCAATAAAATGCATGTGCATTATATGCCAAGAGTATGATGATAACGTGCGATGAATTAAAAATGTGGCGTTCCAACGCTACAGTGATAATAATGATATATACCTTGCGCAAATTTAAGGACAACTTTATTTCCATCCTTAATCCTTCGAAAAATATGTTTTTATTCAGTATCTAATTAGCATAAACATTAAAAAAAATGTTAATATACGTAATAATTGCTGACTAGTTTACGTAAATTTTAATTACTCATTGGTATGTATTTAACAAAAGAAAAAAAAAAAGAAAAGAAAACATAATGTATAATTATTTCAATTAGTGTTTTTACTGATCGATTTAATTCTCCTTTTCATTGGGCGTGTTTTTAAGAAGGTTAATTTGAGTGTTTAAAATTTATTATGTTTGAATTAAATATTATGAATTAAGTTTTTACCGAAATTTTAGGTTTAAAGTAGCCGTTAATAATTATCTTTTATATACGATTTCTTCNTTGAGTGTTTAAAATTTATTATGTTTGAATTAAATATTATGAATTAAGTTTTTACCGAAATTTTAGGTTTAAAGTAGCCGTTCTTTTATATACGATTTCTCCACAGACTATTCTATAGATGATTTTTGGGGGAAGATGTAATGGCTTCTTCAGAATATAATTTTTAATTCTATTTGTCGATAAATTAATTTGTCCCAGAACATCTCAGTTACTACTGTTGTCTGAATATTGTTAATTTTTTTGTTTATAGAGTTATATATTATTTATTATATCATAAAAGAAATTGCTATTAATTTCGTTCATAGTTCTACCCTAGTTATGGAAAGTATTAAACTTGTGATTCTTATTTTTATTAATAATTTAAGATCATATTAAGAGTTATACTTTTTCATACTATTATTATCCTTATTGTTTGCCTAATTTACACTGTTCGAAAATATTCTGTAATAGTGTACTATTGTTATCACTTTAAGAATAAAACGTCATGTGACAACATAAATGGTGGTTACGTCATAATTTGTCAGTATAATAATTTCGAACACACTATAAAACAATGGGGGGTCCTTCCAAGATTAATTATCTTGGCAGATAATTGCCATCTGAATTTTATCTTGCATATGGCTTAATTTGTTTTAAATAATTTACATTTTTTATAGTTTTAACCATGAATTTGAATTTTTTTAAATTTGTAGAAAGTAGAATTGTTTTGTCAACATATAAAAATGTATTAAACTTATCATATATTTTGACAATATAAGGTAGAGATTAAGTATTAAAATCTTTCTATTACATATGTTATTATATAATCAAAAATTATGGGGGGTTACGTTTACAAATCACCCTATAAATCTATATTTACGCTTCTGTGCTGGTAGGAATAGATTAAGAAATGTTTTTAAGGTTGAACTCTATCTGTTTTCAAAATTTCAATTGGTAAACAGACTACAATAGAAATAAGAGGGAGGTTGATGAAATCAGACATCCTCCGCATAAATAATGTATACACTGCCGCTCACATAAGGTTGGCAACTCATGCTCATTTTTACAGTCAGAAATGCATGATTTATTTTCTAAATTGGTTTTGTACAGTAGCTATTTAAGTTACAAAAAAAAAAAATGTTATTACAAAAAATAACCATTACATAATATTTTAAGAGCTTCAAAACCTTGTTTTTTTTATTTTAAAAGTCAAAATTCATTAAGATGAGCTATTTTATTGGGAAAAACATGTATTTTTTATTTGTTTATATCTCCGAAAATATTTAAATTGAAAAATGATTAATTTTGCTACATAATTTTGAAATATGGATAAAAATGTGCATAGGTTACCACCTTCATGTTAGTGGTACCTTCGCCACTTACGTGAAGTATGAGTTTTTTTTTTAATTGACTGGAAAACAATGGGGTTTTTTAATTTGCACAACAATGCTTTCAGTTTTTGTTGTAAAAATATAATTTGTTACAATTGTTAGAGAAGCATAGATAGATTTTATAGAATTTATCTTAATAAAATGATGAGTGGTAAAGATATTTTGTTAGGTTTAAGCTATTACTATATTAGTGTTTTGAATATTATTTCTCTTATCTATGAATTTTAACTACTCTTTCATTAGGAGTTTTATCGTCTCGGTCTATTCAAAATTCGGCTAGAAAGAATGATAACCCTCTCCCGTAATAGTGAAATTCTATCCTTTTTTTTTTTTTTTTTTTTTTTTTTT